GGAACAGAACATAGAGCAATTCCATTGGGGGAAGGGGGGGTTTAAAAGGAAGCACAGCATCAAATACAGACCTTGTAAAGTGTTGTTTTGTAACAGGGGCAGAAAGCACTGCTTAATAAAGGGCCTCAAGCACCTACTGAGAGACTCCCAGCTACAATGGCATTTCTTGCTGGGCATTGATTAATTTCTTGTATTCATGTATGCCCACCCTCCCTCTTCATCTCTCCCTCCTTCCAGAAGGGATTAAGTCGACGTGTACAAAGCACAGCAGAAACAAATGCAAACTGTAGGCTAAAAACACAGAGAAAAAAGGTTAGGATAAAAAAATGCTGCTGAAAAGGAACTTAATCCAATGTCTACCATAGTAACCAGGGTGCCACACTGGCTGACTTACAAAACCAATAATCAACCTCAATGTTCAAAAGTAAAATCAGATCAACTGCTCAGGAGGGAGACAACTTGGTCTTGCAGGCCTTGAAAGCTGGTGTTGGATAATGCCCTGGACTAACAAGGCCCTCTATTTAAAGAACAAAAAGAAAGAAAAAAAACCCTTGCCTTTGAATTGATTCTGTCTCATGGCAACTCCATATGTTACACAGTAGAATTCCACCATGAGGGTTTCCTGGCTGTAATCTTTTATAGACACTTATCACCAGGTCTTTCTTCCATGGTACAAATAGGTGGGATCGAACCAGCAAACATTAGGTTAGTAGTCAAATACAAGCCATTTGCACTAGTGCCAACTCTTTCCCACAAATAAACGGCAAAAAAAGTAAAACCATCCTGTGACTACACCAGAACTGCCCAATAACAAGATCTCCAGAGTTAAGCTCCTTCCTGCCAACCAATATTTGTTGATACTTCTGTGAACATGGTGCTAAGAAGGTATGACATCAGTCTTGGAGGAGATGCCCGGGCCTAACTTCACAGAGTTCATCACATCCCTGCTCAGAAGCAGGGCAAACATGATGGTGAGACAAGAGGAAGGTAAAAGGAAACAGAGGAAAGATCTAGGAAGCAAAGCTATGGATAGAGGTATAAACATGGATGTGTACACATGTAAATACATTAATTCATAAAAATGAAGGTATTGGCCTATGTACAAATATATATGGCAATACATTGAGATAGTGGATGGACTTTGGGCCCCTGCTCAAGTCCTCCCTCAATGCAAGAACACTCTGTTCTAACAACCTGACATTCTGTAGTGCTCGCCCTCCCAACATGATCACTGAAGACAAAAAGAGTGCGTAAGTAAATGTGGTGAAGAAAGCTGATGGTGCTCAGCTATTGTAAGATATAGCATCTGGGGTCTTACAGGCTTGAAGTTAAATAAGCAGCCATCTAGCAGTGAAGCAACAGCCCACATGGAAGAATTAAACCAACCGGTGCTCCAAGATGTGAATGCAACATACCGGCATGAAGCAGGGAACCAGTAGAGAGGTCTGAGGGGCCAACCCCAACCCCAACTACATGGACAGCCGTCCCTCCCCCAAGAAGAATTTACTTCAGAGGACAGCACTGAAGCTACAGCTCAGGGAGAGGGACATGTCTGATCAGTGCACACAGGACCAAATGAAGGGGGAGGAAGACAGAGTGGAGCACATCCTGGCCCACCAAGCCTTGAGGATGATATCCATGCTCAGAGCAGCCATATGGCTGGCCCCACTAGGAGTCATGACATCCCTCACTGACCAATAGCCCTATAGGGGACAACACTGGAGACACAGTGTCAGAAGTGTGCCCGATCTGACCCCACCATACGGAGGCAAAACACTAAGGGCGTGCAACAGAATAACAAAGGGAGCAGAGCAAGGAAGGCCCAAGGGAGTACCAAAAATAGACTTTGGGGGCTAGGGCATGGCACCCCATCAGATTCCACCAGAAAACACTCCTAAAGGTCAATAAACAGACCTTGAACTATTTACAGACTTTTCTGGTTTTTGTCATTGGTTTTTGTTGTTGTTGTTTTGTTTTCTTTTGTTGCTTTGTTTTGCTCTGTCTTGTTTCTGTGCATATTATTATCTTTGCAGGTCTATCTAGATAAGATAGGCTAGATAAACAATCTGGAGGAGAAAACAACGGGACTGATGGTCGGGGG